AGACGAAGAGTGGTGATGGGGAAAATGGGATTACATGTTAAGTGGGAGTATTAAATGGGTATCAGTTGAATTTACTCCAATTTATTCTTGTGGACAATATTGCTAGTTTGGATTATTTTTATGAACACTCTCAGTGGGATTATTATTATTCTAGAATCACTGAAAGCATGGATTACTCTTAGGAATTTCGCCTTATATATGTGTGTGTGTGTGTATACACACACACACACACATCTTGGAAAATGGAAGAAATGCAAAGAGGATTACCTCCAAAGCTTCAGCAACCATCTTTTGGTTCCCTTTGAATGCTAGACCAAGCTCTTTCTTCACTGGAGTTATAACAATTTTCTAGCATTGCAAACCATTGCTTAGAAATTAGTAGCGTTGCAACACAAAATGCAATGACAATGACTAATTATATGACAATATTTGTTACCTCCACTTCTTTAGGTTCTAAATATTTTTCCTGAGCATCAAGAGGTGTACCACTTTTTTCCTGACAGCCAATAGTGATAAGCAAGTATAATGAATTCAGTAACAAATCCTTTAATAACTGGCTATGTAAGACTGGAAGAGTAATTTAATTTTTTCCTGAAGTTTAAGGTACTGCAACTCATCTTTACACAGGCAAAGTTCTTAGAACTCAGATAATGTGTCAGAAAAGCATCACACGTACAAGACTAATGTAAGGGGAAATATAAAATTCATTTTTACGCATAAATATCAAGAAGCAATGGAAAGTATATACATTAAAGAATTCAAATAATCTTACAGTGAAGATTATTATACAAGAGTGAAGATTCCAGTGAAGATTTATACAAGAGTGCAAAGAGTAATGGGGAAAGAATCTTACAGAATGAGCACGCAAATCATATGCAGATCTATCAGCAATGCCAACACATTCTATCCAACCGTAAGAACTCTCAATTTCAGCATCCCAGCAGTCTTCAGCATAATGGGCCATCTCATTTTCAAGATGTTGCCTGAATCTCAAACGATGTTGATCTATTCCAATTTGTGTTAAGAATAGGTAGACTCTCCCAATAAAGTATCCAAGTGTTTCATTATTGACAATTCCCTGGAAAAAAAATAGTACAAGGAGATGTTAAAACACAAGTAAGCATGGTAGGTGTGTGCATTATAAGAAAAGATGAAAAGAACATGGCCCATGCTGGTATAAAAGAAACTCACACTAGACACGGCTTTCCCTAGCTGATATCTTGTAGCAGATTGCCCAGATACTTGTTCTTTTCTAGGAAACATTAGAATCTCCAAACTTGCAACCTCAGAAAATTTGGGGTGTGATTTGTTCTGGGGATCAACAAAATGCTCAATTTCTGCTAGAGTGAACTCCCTGACCCTCAGAAGCCCCTGCCTTGGCGATATCTGAAGACATGGTGCAAAATGATGAATAACAAGTTGCAAATTTTGTTTCTTCTCACAATTACAGTGCTTGCTTGATCATAGATATGTATAAACTGAATGCCATCAGAAGCATGTAGCACAAAAAATCCAAAATTCACAACCTCATTTCTAAAAGCCTGGCCAATTTGTGCAGCAGCAAAAGGGAGCTTGTTGCCATTGTAATAATACAAATCTCTGAAATTAACAAATATTCCCTGTGCTGTTTCAGGGCGTAAAAACCTGCACGATATTAAAAATTACAAATAAAATCAGCACAATAATGTTACAAAAACAGCATCAAATACAATCATGAATTTCCAAACAAGGCAGCTAATACGAACCCAGGGCTCAACCCAGATGGACCGATTGAAGTCTGAAACATCAGATTGAATGGGTAAGGATCAGAAAGAGGATTCTTAGTATCAGGAGCTGTGATATTATATTCCTTGATCTTTGCACCAATTTGATCAGCAGATAGATCATCCAAGAGAGCCAGCACATGCTTCAATTCTGCTGCCTTTTCAGAAGACATGCTCAAGTCCTTCTCGAGTTTCTCATTGCAATAATCCTTAAGCAAATGATCAGCACGATAACATGTTCCCGTCTTCTCGTCCTTAACCATGAGATCAGTAAATTTCTCAACATGACCTGAAGCCTTCAAGACAACCTCAGGTGTCACACATGGACAGTCAATCTCCAACATGTTCTCCTCCAAAACGAAGTGCTGAAGTATGGAAAGGAAATAAATTTTCAGTTAGACAGTGGATATGCATATCAGCACAGGAAACAGACGGGAATACATGCAAATTCCAATCAACAGCCTCAAGACGATTGAATATATTAAAATAAACCTGGCGCCAGAAAGCGAGGACATTGGCCTTAATAGCGCATCCAGGTGGACCGTAGTCATACAGACCGGTCACACCACCGTAGATTTTGAAAGAGGGGATGTAGAACAAGCGGCGCTCGAGAGTGTTGGCGACAGCCTGGCGGAAGGCATCCCTTGTGGAGGTGCCGGAAGCGCCACCAGCGAGTGTAGATTTAAGCTGACTCTCGATCGAGGCCTTTTCGAGCTTCAAAGCATTCAAGGCTTGAACGGCGGCATCGATGTCAGGCTTGGGAGCGCCGGACGCCTTTAATTGACGGACAGAAGTGCCTTGGAGTTCGATATTCGACAGTTTCTCGGCGAGAGCTTTGCGAAGCGAGTCCTCGGCGGCGGGAATCGTCGACATTGAGCGAGAGCAGAAGAGAAGAGTGGAGTTCACGCGGTGGGGAAGGGGAAGAAATGAGGAGCTGATGATAGCAGGAAATGAACGCATGCGAAGTCGTTTTGACTCTTTGTTTTGATGGGGTTTAAGGCTTTATAAACTGAGAGGGTTTTCTATTTTGAAAAATACCAACCCCTAGTTATGACAATTTATAACACTTTGACTTTATAATAATCGGAGTAATAAATAATTATTTTGATATCTTCATTCTTCATCACTATTTATTTCGATTTTTTTTTAAATTACCATAAAAAGTATAGTTATTTCAAAATAAATAATTATACAAGTTCAACAAAAATTTATTTATTACTCCGTATTGTTTAATGTTTACACATCATAAGAAAAAACCTATAATCAAAGAATCAAAGTAGGATATCTCATAATGTAAACATTAAGATGTGTATAAAAAACATACTCTTTCAAAAAAACACAAAAAAAAACTTATCAACATATCTCGAGAATATATGAACATGGAAAAAAAATTATTTGACTAAATATTGTGTAGATTAGATAGAAATAATATGTCCTGCTAATGGTCTTTAAGGGACACCCAATAGATTATGTTTTTTTCTATTATTGTTTAAGGGCAAATTACCCCAAGCAAATTAAATACCATCTCAATGTTATCTATCACAAGACCTAATGTAGTTAAGCCGTTTTTGAGACATAAATTAATAAAATGATATGCACAGTGTTGATGAAAAAATCTTCCATCAAAGTCGAATAATCATATTATTCATGCAATCTAGGTATAATAGCACTATTATTAATAGCATTATCAAAATCAATAGCAAACACTTATCAATCAAATTATATTCTGTTAAAACTCATTACATGATAACATAAATATTATCACCGGTGTGTTTTTCATTAAAATCTTTAAAAACGATAACTTTCATATGCATCATTCAATCATCATCAATAAAATGTAGTCACATCCAAATAATACAAGTGATGATATGTATCTTCCCATAAATCACTCCAAACAACCACATGTGAATGGAAGTTTGCAAAAAAAGAAAAATTAAATTTTGCTTTACCAAATTATGTTGTTTAATAACTTCTTTTTAGTTGTATTCCGGATATAGTTTTAAAATTGTGGATTTAGGATGTTTTTACTTGGACTGTAATTTGCCCCAGACCAGACCAGTCCAGACCAGACCAGTTCAGACCAGACCAGACCAGACTTGGATAGTTATAAAAATACAAAGAAACCAAACCTTACCAGACCAGACCAGACCAGTTCAGACCAGACCAGACCAGACCAGACCAGCAAATTACAGTCCAAGTAAAAACATCCTTAATGAACCTAACCTTGAGCATATTGCTGTAAAACAAGACTTTTAGAAAAATAAAAGATAATTTCTTTCACATATTAATCCGAACATATCTTTCAAATGTTGTTCATCATCATAAGCAAAATTACCAAAGTGTTGAGAATTTGTAAACTTTGAAATTTGGATTCGTGTCCCCATGGCTTTAGTCCTGCTTTCTCCACGGGGTATCTCGACTCTAAAAGCCTCCTCACGGTCCCGCATTTCCCATGCTTAGTCTTAGTCTCTTAGATCATAGTGCCACCTGTGCCGGCAGACTCAATACCATAACCCCTTCTCAGCATCTTTTCCCTCGTTAAAATGAAATTAGAAAAGGTGAGAACGTAATTTCTATTTACAAGTGCCTATGTTGGATTGTGTGGATGAACCAGACTGCTCCCTTGGTCTTTGTGGGGATACTTCACCTTGTTGCTCGTCCTCCACCAATGGCTCCTCCTCGATGGCGGCAACCTCCAACTCTTCGTCAATTTCAGGAATGGTATCCTGATTTATAACTGCAGAAGTTTGGTCTGAGACTAAAAACAGTCCAAAAGAAAACATCCTTACACAGCTAAAAGGAAAAAGGGGGAAAAATCAAAATACAGCAGTTTAGGAGTGCAGGGACAGCACCCAGCAGTTTCGACCAGAAACAGGCTGGCCAGTTCCGGTCTGGACATGTCCCAGGATTGTAGGTACAATTGACGTCCATTCTCCATTGTATGTCCTTCGAGAATTAAAAGATACTCCTTCCGTATCACATATATCTTCCCACTTTCAAAGTGGGTGAGATTAAGAATAGTGAAAGAGGATACAAATTATTGAGGGCATGATAGGAAAATAGTGAAATAATGTGATGAAATGAAGGATAAATCCAAAAAAATAGGTGTAATAGTGTATTATTTTTTAAATTATTGAGTATGATGAGAAAATTTAGAAATGGAAAGATATAAATGTTACATCCAAAAAAGGAAAGTGAGAAAATATGAATGTTACAGAGGAATTAAGAAATAACCAGGTCCAACCGTCCAAGGTTTCAAATTCCACAGCAACATCATGAATAATCTAAGCAAATAAGCGGTGACATCAGTAGCTAACATCCAAATAAATACAAGTTATACAACATTCCATTTCAAACAACAACAAAAGTTACAGCCACAATCTATAACAAGGAACATGCTTATGAGTTTCAATAACATCCCAAACACGAGGTTCAAGACACCAAATTAAAAAAAAAGGTTCAGTACACAAAACATTCACAACAAAAATTGTCTGCCTTGGCATGCTCTGGCAAGGTAGGGGAAAATTTTACCACAAGATCGAAGCCTTCATCACGGCGCCAGCCCAACAAAACTCTTCTCATATACACTTTTGTACATCCAATTAGTATTTCCAAAATTTTGAAGCTCCGCGGGGGGACCTTATGTTGGGTATTAGGGTAGGTCCCACACATAAAAAGGGGCAACACTTGTCATTCTTTATCAGCTAAACTCACAAGGCCGTCAATATTCTGAAACAAAAGGAAGTCTTACCTTCATTCCTCCTTTTAAGCTTTCTTCTCCATTGACACTACCCATAATAATATTACTATAATGTACATGAGGATATTTTGGGTGAAAATAAGTCTCATTCATAGAAACGTGAGCTGCATTTTATTGGATTCCTGGACAGGTACTGAAGATGACTCTCCATGTGAGAGTGACTCTTTTGATGGGCTCTTTTGAGTTTCATGGTTGTTTTCATCGCAACTTGGGCCAACTCGACTTTTGTTGGGTCTTGACCTGACATGGACACCCATAGGGAAGGGAACCTGTAAATGCAAATTCGGTCATGCAAGCATCTTCCATACTATGGATAAAGGAACAAATCGCAGTAAAAATTGTTCATCCAAATTTTTTATGTGCAGTAAAAACATCCACTCGCCCCAAATAATCCCAAACACCAGAGATTATGGCTCTGTTTGATAGCCAAATGTGGCTTGTTCTGCTTAGCCTGCAGAATAAGTGGCTATAGACTTGCTTGTTTGGCTGAAATGGATGTTACTAAATGCTTTTCCTTTCAGAAACAGGAGATTCAGCCAGCTCAGCCTAATAACCCTTACAAACAAGCCCTAGACTTGTCCGGTGACCCACCCCCCCACCCCCACCCCCACTTTAGTGACACCTATTCTACATGCATCCCCCTCCAAACCCCCACTAATCCCCACCCACGTGTCAGGCCCAAGTTTATTGTCTAGCTGGTTCCAGGCGCTCTTTACAAGATACTCCCTCCCTGTTCTCAAATAACTTCCCGTTACGGAAATTTTGTGGTTTTTAAAGTGATAATTAATATCTTCATAAAATGGATATACTCACATAGCCCTATTGACTTCTAGGTATAAAGAGTACTAAGCCAACATTAAATATGTATAGAAGAAAGGGAAACATAATCATCTTAGTATGTTCTACTTTTATTGATTTGCAAAATGGGCAGTTCTTTGGGAACGAAAGGGCAAGAGTATAAGGGGAAGAGATACAAGGAATACACCATACTTGGGAACAAAAATAGTTCAAATCCAAAAAGGAAGTTAGGGGGATGGGTAGAAGATATATGATCATACTACCTGATCGCCTGCATTGGGACCATCAGTATGGAAAAGAATAGGACGGCATCGCTTATCTTCATTCATCAAGCTAGAATTCTGGAAGTGAGCAACAAGGGCAGCTTTGCCCTGGATGCGTGCATATGCAAGTGATGCTACCTTTTCACTATTGAACTTTTCCCATTTCTTTCCATTGAAAGCCTGTTGCATCAACCAATAACTCATCCCTCTCAGTATTGTGAAACATATACCCACTCACAGGGTACAGAAAGATTTCAATACTGGACTGTATAAACTATTTAGGGAGGTAAGTGGGAACCTTACTTGATAAAAAGAAATGATGAACGATGGATCAATCATATTAATAAATGCATACCCCACGTTGCATTTGTTCTGCCAAAAAAAGTAATTAATTAAAATTGAAAGATCCACCAGCATTAAATCATTATTTGGTAGAAGTGTTTTTTTGCTTATGATCAGCCACATTTTTTATTACTTGGCATGTCTTTCGAGAGAGCAAAGTGGAGGGCGGTATTCGTGTGGCGGATTGATCTCTTACCATCTTTTTTATCTTCTCCATCATCTTTTTCATCATTTTTATAATTTTATCTTCTTCATCTTTCTAATGCTTTTTATCCTTTTTATATACGGAGTATATTATTTTTATCCTTTTTTTATCTTATCATTTTTATCTCTATCTTCTCCATCATTTGCAATGGAGCCAAAGACTCACTATTTTTTGGCTTGGGAATATGATGGAATAAAGCAAAATGGCTCACTAAACTGTCTGCGCTTCTTTGTTATGATACAGCAGTCAGTCTTGTAATTTTCAACGCGTTTTTCACTATGGGTCATTCGGAAACAGTCTCTCTGTGCTCAAGTACAGGGGTAAGACTGCGTACATCCGACCCCCCTTACTCCGCCGTTGGTGGAGCCTTTGCGGCACTGGGGTATCTTTTTTTTTTATCTTTTTTTATCATACCATATCTTTTTATCTTTTCTCTCCGACATCATTTATCAATTCATGTTAGCCGACCCCAAAATATTTTGGAACACAGGCTTGGATGTTGTATGATCAGCCACATTTTTTCCCAAAGACCATCATAAATGACTGTTCGCTAAACCATTTTTTAAGAAATAACATTTTTTTATAATTCAGCGCATTCAGCCACAACTTAAGTCATTTCAGGCACGACAGCTAATTTTTGTAGTTGGCAATAAAGGATGCAAGAGCCATATTACATGAACATCTTACCCAGAGTAGTAGTATAATATAATGAACATGTTATGGACTCATTTACGGACAATGTGTATCAGTGGCGCAACAAGCCCAGAGAAGGCTGATAGGGCTAGGCCGAAATGCTGAATCCTCCTTAAGTGCGCTGCTCAAGTTTTTTCTTAGTTGTTCCAATTAGTATTCATTCCTATTACTGAATTGTATTACTGTTAGAATTATCTTTCCTTATTGGGTTGTTACCCTTATGTGCTAAGGCTAAATGGTTGGAATAGTGATGGTGCTATTGTAATATTTGATCTTTTGATCGCACGGTGGAACCCGCATAACGGCGTTTTCCTTCCTTTCCTAGGATGAGGGCTGGATTTTATTCTAAGCACCATAGCTTCTAAACGTTCTCATATTCAACTACCATGGACCCAACCTTGTACTAAAGTCTCAAAAAGAACATACCTTGAAATCGATGGGCAAATAGATGAAATCATAAATTCCTTTATGTTGTTCATCGATTGCAGCTAAAAGCATTTTTGATGTGTACCTAGGATCGGCAGCACAGGAGATAATTGAGACATGTTGCAACATACAAAAGGCATATGGAACCTGCAAGATGTATCAAATAAATTGTGACATACTTGTTAGGAATGTTCTTTAACATTAATGTTGTCCGCTTATCTTCCCCCCGAACAATCCGTTCAATGTCAAGCTCGAACTGCTTTTTGTTTTCTGTCTGATTTGAAGGGCCTTCATTTCTTCGGCTTCTTGACCTCTCGTTTGGAGAATCAAATGAACTCATCATAGGAATCATTTGGCCCCTCGGAGGAAACATCATACACCTCTGATGAGGAGACGGTAATCCGACACTCTTTGAAGTGATTTGAGAATCTATACAGTTTCCACCGCCCCGAGGAAAACTGACAAAGTCCAAGGTGTGGTGGGGTGAGTTGCCAGTGATCTGCAAGCTACTAAGAGAACCTGGATGGAAAGCAGAAACTTCAGGAGATTCACCAGCATACACATGTCTTCTATCCCAAATAGAAGCATTGACAGAAGGGGCTGATCCCACGTGGTGGTTGCTTATTGGTAGATGTGTATTCAGCATGTGAGTAGGTGCATTAGAAACAGAATGCATTTGTTGTGAGTGAGCAGTGTGAATTCCATTTACAAGTGATGGTGAGTTTGGCCACATCATTTCTTGAGGAGGCTGTTGATGATGGGGAGAAGCACTCCATGCATATGGATGCCCTCCAGATGGTGCACAGCTTCCATTTCCAGTGGGACCAAAAACTGAGCAGGGTAGAGGAGTATGTTATTAGAATATCAGGAAGCACAGAAGTTCTTGAGAGAAAAAATAAATCAATCAAAGTAAGCAGGTTTTGCAAAAAAAAATAAAAGCAGAAGAATGGGATCTTTTTGAAAAAATTGGTCTTCACACTCCATGGTTTACCCCCAATGCACCCCATGTTTTATTTTCATCATGAGCCCCATGTGGGTTGCAAGGTCAAATTTTGAGGTAAACTGAGGGATACTAAGTTTAATAAAAATGACTCACCCCAGGGTGCATATTCAAACAAAATAAAGTATGAGCAAAATCAGATTTTAAGGTAAACCAGAGGATGCAAAGTCTAATAGAGATGACTGGCTCTGGGTTCATGTTAAAATAAAACAAAACATGGTGACAGAAGTCAAATTTTAAAATAAATCACGGGGTGCAATGTATGATAGAAATGATTTGCTATGGGGTTCAATGTCTAATAGAAATGACTTGCTATGGGGTACATGTTCAAAGAAAATAAAGCATGAGGTGAAAAGTTAAATGTCCAAAGACCAATTTTCCCTTGTCTTTTGACAAAGGTTGTGATTCGAGTCATTAATTTTAACTATTATTATATCTTAAATTTTCCCTTGTCTTTTGAGCTGGGGTTTTGTAAATATAAAATATAAATCCATGTAATTCTGCACTTACCGCCTTCATGCAGCCCAACCGAGAGCCTATTTGAGCCAACTCGATGGAATTGCTGATTGTCAGTCACTTCTGACGTCCAACCATTAATATTTGGGGACATGACACCTAGAGAACTGGAGGCAACTCCATTGGTTAACCCATCAAGATATTCTGGAAGAGAACAGGGGAGGCCGTTTGTCTTGCGCATGAACTCAATGTTCATTTGACCCATTAAATGGCTGGTATCACAGAGATTAGACTGATTGCCAACAGATTCAAGCCTGACCAGAGAGGCTAAGCAGTTAGGATTAAATGATGATATCCCATGGTCCAAGGTATTGTCCGAATAGTGAGTTAGTGACTTTGCAGCAAGTCCACCAAGTGTACCTTGACCTGGTAAGATTCCATTTACCCGCATGCATGTCAGTTTACGTCAAAAGGAATTGAACTTAATAAATGCTTATCAGAAATAATACCAGAATATCCAGTCACAAAGTTACTAGGATAACTATTCTGTTGCACATGAAGACCAATTTCATCATGTTTTGTTTCTCGAGAAAATTGTTGCAACCTGCAAAGTTCGCAAGCCCAAGATAACAATAGGAAAAAACTAAAAAAGAAAGAGTATATTATGGCTTGCAATTTTTAGGTGTTCGTATACAATAAGACATAAGTGAAAATTACCATACACAAGATGAATAATTAGAACAAAAGTAAATGCAAAAATTGAAAAGTACGTATTAGTATCTTCTTTGAAATAACAGCATGTTTGGTACAAACTACAATGAGGTATGCGGGAATGAAATTATTACTTATTTTGTGTTTGGTTTTCTTTTGGTAAGTTTATATGACATTATTGCCGGAGCAAGTCCCATTTTCTTCCCTTCTTATGGAGAAAAACTAATACTACAGCGCTCAAAAATTATTTCACAAAGTTGGGGAAAAATCTCGAAGGAATGTAACACACTCCTTTTTCAATAACCTAGTCATATTAATTAATTAATTAATTAATTAATTACTTTAAGGATGGCACATGAAATAGGGAATTTTAGTAGATAAAACAACATACTGCCTAGCCCCAGCAGTAAGACTTGGTTCAAGCTTAATCTGCTTCCCGGCAATGTAGCTATTGTTCAAGGCATATATAGCCGCTTCCGCAGCCCTACTATCATAGAACTGTATCAATTTGTAATGGCTTTGATGTGGAATCTCACGGATCTACATTGCCAAAGAGAGACAAATTAGCAAATTTCTAAACGCACCAAAGAAATGCAAACGTTCAGCATAAAAATAACCTCCTTAATTTCTCCATAGGCACCAAAGATATGATGAATCTCATCATTACACACAGAAGGTTCAAGGTTGAAAACCATTACAGTACCCTGGTTGATGTCCTCAGATGGATGGCCCTAACATAGATGAACAAAAAGAGACCTTAACAGGGGACATGGCTAGCTCGAATCTAGGGGAACAATGAGTCCAGTTAAACCATACCTTAGGGGCAGCAAAATGTATGTCTAGCTTCATGTGTCTCAATGGCTTATTTTGGAGAGCTTTCATTGCATTTAGGGAAGATCTGATATCGTAATAGGATACCACAACAAAACCACGATGCTTGCAGGCTGTAGAAAGAGAACGAATATCTCCGTATTGCTGCATATTTAATGAACAATAAAATGAAACCATCAAATTTATAATCACTTCTATAAACTTATGGTTGGGGGGTTAGGAGGACACAGAGTTAGACTTTAAGGCCACTGCCAAGAACCTACCTCAAAAAGAGACTGCAATTCAGAATCTTCAATATTGCTATTTAAGTTTCTTATGAGGAGTGTTCTGGATGGATACTCTTCAAACGGGAAGTTCCTACCACCTGGAGCTCCTAAAAGCAAGCCAGAATTCCTTCTGCTTGAGGAGAAGCCGTCTTCTCCCAGGTCCATCCCACCAACACTGCTAAACAGGTCCAAGTCTTCTCCATCATCTCCATTGTTGGGTTGGACAACACAGTCAAACCCATCAGTGACTGCTGCAAATAAGTCGTCATCATCAGGCAGAAGATTTCCAATAGTCTGAGCCTCGAGTTCTTCAAGGGATTCCAAAGGTTCCTCTTCCTCATTATGTAGAGCAGTAGCACCAATGGAATGTCCATATATAGAGCGGTTTGTTGTCAGTTGTACTGCAATGTAAATTTACAGAACATGAACATCATCTAAGCTCTCAACTCTCATCTATTTTAAAGATGGGGATAAAATTTATTAGTTATACAGCTATAATTGCTACAATTTTGAATTGAGGCATTGTTGACTAGGTGCTTATTTAGTTGAGGGATTTCACACAGATGGGGTTGGCGTAGATTTTTTATTTACTGACTTAACTCTACTACTCTATTAGTCAGTGTAAGACTAGAAATAAATATATGATTTGTCAGATCATGTATTCGAATATACTTTTTTGTCTTCAGCTTATTTCCAATCATCCAAATGTACAAATAACTTGAAAAAAATTATGACTCTTCCCCTTCCCTTTCTTCTGAAATCTCGGAATCAAACAAGCATTGAGGGAAAACTTACACTTTCTACTAAACAACTCTGATAATGAACTCGAAAAAAGACCATTTTCATGTTGATCCCCAAGCATCTTTATGTTGTCTCTTTCCGATGTATAAGATGTGGATTCTGTATGGCAAATAGAAGTTGTGCCTACGCTGTGATCAAGAGTTCTTGCCAAAGATTGGCTGGCTGCTCTTTCTGATCCGATTGCATGCTTTTGTGTTGCAGATGCCAGCTTCCTATCATTTTGTAAATAAGAATATGAATTGTGAGGTTTAAAACCTTTTGTGATCTGGCAACCTATAGGTGTCTGGTCCTCAAACGGCAATGAAGGGACGCTTTCTTCCCTGAATGTTCTCTCTTCTTTTAAACCTTCAATAAAGGAAAACCAAGTTAAAAGCAAGTCCTGAAAACCCCAAAAAGAAAAAGAAGAGTCAATATCAGCTCTCACTTCTCGACTGATGCAAAAGTTAGATGCATTAGGAGAACTTGGCGAAAAAAACAGAAAATTCTGGGAGGTCTTTACTTCGGGATTCTTATGGGAAATGTCTGAAAATATCTCTGAGAAGGGCAAACCAGCAGAAGATAAAAACATGCAAGAGATGTTAGGACAATAGATCGGGTCCAATGAACCACACCACACAACTGACCCAGAACAGCCCAAGGACAGTCTGGCTCTGGGTCAAGCCAGTAAGCCTGACAATAATGCTTCCGGGGTATGGTTTATGTTAAGGGGAAATGGGTAATGTGAACGATGGTGTAGGAGGCTCCCATGTTTTGAGCAGGGAAGAAGGAAATGTCCTTAATAAACTTATCAGTTATTTATTTCTTGCTTGCTTCTTAAATGAAATCCCCTTCATACACTAGGGATTACAAGTTCAAATCAAGCTAAAATGGAAACGTAATAATCATTATCATCATCATCGCCTTATTGCCAACTAGATAGGGTCAGTGTCATTAAATCTGTAGTGTTAATTAATGGAATGAAATGACTTCATACAAAAATTATGCTGGATTCCCTTCTTGTCCATATGAAATGAGAATGAAAACTAATTTTCATATCAATCTAATGATACTTTAGGATCAACTTCAATGGCTCCTTAATTTACGAATTACAACCCCGCAGAACACCAATCTTGTCCTCGAGTGCGCAATCTGGAAATCGGGGACCAAAAGATGCCCAATGCGATAGTGGTGCCGACCTTTGTGTTCCTCTCGAAGTCTTCCCACTCGTTTCATTTTCAAAAATGCAACGTTGAACTCTTTCATCTTGGAACCATAAATACTTTTCAGAGATGAGTTATGTGTTTTTAATTACCTTATTCATCACACACTATGGTTTGGCGACTTGGTTCTTGGAGTGGGGTGATTTCTGTTGGAGCAAGATGGGGGTTCATGGAGTTGGTGGAATGCGAGCACATGGGGCAGTGTGATTGAAACAACTTCAAGTGGTGGTTAAGGATACATTGTGGATGACTATGATGAAGGTGGTGCGGTGGTGAAGAAGAAAATGGTGGTCGCAATGATATCAAAGATCTGGCCTCAGTTCTAGACTCTAGAGATGGGGATTTACTTCAATTATGATCCAAGGAAGACACAGTCTCCCATCCCTAGGCAGCTCAGCCAAATCAGTAAGAAAAAAAAAATAGCTTTTCCTTTTATGTAAAACATACACCCGCTATGCATAATTGTGTTCCAATCTAATTCGACCACTGATATTCCCCCAATAACCCAAATACCCAATTAGCTCATATGTGCAAGTGTTATAGAAATAAATGCCAAGCGCTTCAATAGATTCTGCTAGTTTTGGGAAAACATATATCAATAAATAGTTTAATATACTCCATAACATTTAACTCAAAAGTTATTTATATAAAAAGAACTATTTAAAAAAACATATTACAACTCACCATTGTAATTATACATGCTATTTGACTTCCAAAACCCATTCTGGCTCTGTTATGGCAAAAAAAATCTTGAATATGAAAGACGTGATGAAGGTAGAAGAAATTATTTTGCTACTTTAAGAGAAACATTTTGTACCTCATCATGGGGTTGCAAGTCCTCGGAGAAGAAGGAAGAGGGAGAGAAATTCTGGGGGCCCATCATCTGGGATGGCATTATGCAATCTGGCATTATGCGACTTGGACTTGTAATGCACTAAAAATCTCAACTCAAGAGAATCATACGCATCCAATTGTATGAAAAAACAGCATTATCTGATTTCTATAAACTGCAATAATATTGATGGAAATACGATAGTAAAGTACTAATTAGTTTCATATATAGAAAATAAGTGCTTAACTAAATCAAAGTACAACTTCTTAAATTCCTTTTATCTATGGAAGGTGCTTCGTACCTCAGATAACAAATACAACAATGAACCAATCAAAGGAAATTTGTACACACAAAACCATCAAACAGATCCAAAAGATGAACGTAGCAGGTTTAGCTCAAACTCCTATACACACCAATTCAAAAAGGGGCCAAACACAGGGAGAAAACGAAAGCACGCACCTTTTAGAGTACGGACAACTTTGCTGAAGAGCAAATGAGAGAGAAATTTGGAAGGAATTCAAAGCAAAACTTTCAACAACAGAAGCAAAAAAGCAGAGGAAGAAAGGGGCAGAACGGAAAAGGGGATTTCATTTCATACAAAGAGAAAGAGAGACGGGAATAAATTATCATCGGGAAATGCAAGTAAAGGTAGGAAGAATGAAGAAGCGATCTAGGAGCGTGTGTTCCGTGAAAGAACCACCAAAGCCTGACGCCTTTCTCTCTCTTTACAATTCACGTTAACAGCAGGTACCGCCCACAACACAATTCCCCCCGATTTCCTACGTATACACGTCTCCCCTCCGCAACAGACCGGTCCGTTTCTTCCCTGATCGGAAACTCTGTGGACTCCGGCGAGCGACGGACGGCGGTGATCCCGGCCCCTCGCTGGCGATTTCCCCCTCTCCCCCCCTGCTCGAGAGCGCGCGAGAGAGAAGGAGCAGCAAATTACAAAAAATCCAGACACGCGATACAAATACAAAACCCGGAGATCGCTCGGCCGTGGATTGGGAATTGAGTTGACCACGCCGTACAAAATTAGAGCTCAAAAATCACAATTAATTAAGCAAAAAAAAAAGACACGGAAAGAGAGGGAGAAAATGGCGGAGGAGTGTTGAAGAAGACCTGGTCACCATAAAAGCTCCTACAAAGGCGATGGAGGATCTCCGATGAGCTAGCTCATCTACGATCTACCTATATCTATCTATCAATCACTCAAGAGAGAGAGAGATGAAAATGGAAATGGAAACGAGAAATGAAAATAATTATTAATATAATAATATAATAAAGATGATGATGATGAATTGTTGATAATAATAAATAAATAAATAAATAAATGAGAAACGGTGGCCTGGCCTGGCAAGTTTGGCGTTGGCATTAGACGTGACGATGGGGCGGGTTGCCGTTACGGCCCACTAACGGACGTTCGATCTCAATCAAAGAGGTATACGGATGTCGGGTGCGCAGTTTGTTAGAGTAGGCGATTCTACTTTTGGCTTACTTGCACGTGCCTGGCGTTGCGTTGTACAAATTCATACTTGGTTTAGCACCTATGGATAGACAATAGATAAACACATCATCATAATTCATAAAAAAGAATACAAGCACTCCCAAATACTACGTAATAATATTAAAAATAATAATCTTTCACACAATATATAGAGACTCTTTTTTAAAAAACAATATATAGAGCCTCTTTGACAGTTTGATGGTACTGATATTGACTAAATTGGATTAATGTGTTTAAATTTGTGAAATTTCACATTGAAATGCTTGACTCGGTTTGATTATAAAAAATGCTGTAAATATATTTTATAAATAACATTAAGAAAGTATAACATGAAAATAGCTGAAATAATCATTCTCACCAAACTCTTTCCATTCAGTCACAAAAGCAATTTCAATCTTGTTTGATTTGATTATTATTACTCTGTATACAATTACACATTCGTGAAATTAAAACCAAGCTATTTGACAAACAAATGGCTATATGTTCCATCCCTCTTCACATAGGAGTATAGGACTTTGCTTTTGAATAATAAAATTGAAGTTTGTGTTTTGCAAATTAGTTTTTTGACTTATTAGTCTTATTTTATAAAATAATAAATTTTCTATTTTGCGTGTTGAAGAGTATGACAAATAATATAATTAGTTTTTTTCCTGAAGTAGTTGTATATGATTGTTTTACTATTTCAAATTTTCAATATATAATATTTTCTTTAGTTTTTTAGTAAGCTATACTTTAAATATAATAATTTCAACCACAAAATCAACAAGTTCAACAAATAAAATAAAATTCAGTGTTATCAAATGAAATCAATAATTAAAATTTGTTCTCTTGTGATAATATTTAGATTTTTGCAAATGACAGGATTTTTATCAATATTATCTTTCATCCCAAAATAAATTTCATTATCTTTGCAAATTTGTCTGTCCCCTCCATAAGTTTTGAACCTTAATTTTAATTTTCTTAATCACATGTCAAGGCAAAACATCACATTTTTATGGGGCAGGTGTGGTATTAATATTTACAATATACATATTTAACATTTAGATAAAATGATTTATTGAACTAAGAACATCAAATTTAATTATGTTAAAGATTTATATGAAATTAGTTAAGAGTCATGTTGAGGATTTAATGCATCAAATCCCCTTGTGATATATAAAATATTGGAATTAGGTCTCACGATTTAATATAGGGAAAAGTATCAAATCACGATTTAACACAGATAGTGCAAATCATCCCCTAAACTACAAAAATGTGCAACCAAGACCTCCAACCTGGCGATATAGTGCAAATTACCCCCCCCCCCTTAAATTAAAAAACATATGCATCCAAATTCTCCAACTCGGTGATATAGTGCAAATGACTTTCCTGAGCGGTAATTTATCGATTAAAGCTAATATGAGATATTTATTATAAAAAAATATGTCACATCAGATTTAGTTATTCGTCTCAATATATCTCACTTAAACCTTTTATTGACTACTTATAGAACGAGGTTGAACACGCAATCTTATGAGATGCTCGTGTGTTTCCACGAATAACTAAAGACCCGTCGGTGAACTCAAAGCTAAACATAGCACTGCCCCACCACTTCACGAACAAAACGACTACCGATCAAGGTAGCCGGATTTTCAAAGACTAGGGATGTTTTTAATTGGACTAAATTTGTTAGTTTAGTCCGAACTGGTCTTATCTTGTTTGGTAAATGTCTAGTCTCTGTGTATTTGGAAGTCTGGTATGGTCTAGTATGTTTAAATCTGGTCCGGTCTATTTAAAATTGGCATGGGACTGAAAACGGTCAAAGTAAAAACATCCTAGGAGATTTATGTAACCCTTTTCAATTGTTATTTAAATATTTTGTAATTGTACAAGTCGAGTTAAAAAACATCATATAAGTTCGTTTACTTTAAAAAATCAATCAATTTGACCATTTAATCAGTTTTTGAACTCTAATAGCATGTTTTTTATATTAAAAATCTTTTTCTATCTACTTTTACATTTGTACTGTTTTTATATTATTCTAACATTATTTTCTAAAAATTTATATGAATTTTTATAAGATTTATCAATATTATTGATTTAATTTTTCAAAAATAACTTGTTACAACAGCTCAAAATGACTTGATTGATTGTATTTTAAAAGTAAGCGTACTTATACAATATTTTTTAGTAGAAGAGCTCAAGTCATGAATTAAAAATAGTAGAAAAGTTTATTTGACCATTTACTCTTTTTTAATAAACGGCATACATCAGCTTTAACCGGTAAATTACAGTTTCGGAAGGTCATTTGCACTATGTCATCGAGTTGAAGAATTTGATTGCAATTTTTTTTATTTAAGGGGTGATTTGCACTGTATCGCCGAGCGGGGAGGTCTTGATTGCATGTTTTTATAATTTAGGGGGTGTTGCACTTTTGATATTAGTTCAATGACTGATTTGATACTTTTCCCTTTAATAAATGCGTCAAACCTCCTGAGTTATGATTAATCATGCACAAAACCTCATCCAAGAACAAATTTAACAATTTGAAAATCATTTATCTTAATATTACGTAGTATAATTTAATGTGCAAGTAAATTTGTCAAACACTCTAAATTATACAAAAATACTAGTCATTTAGCTTTTACGGAGTATATGATAATTACATTTAGAGCCCGTTTGGAGAACTCTGTTTTCGGCTTATCAGGCTTATCAGCCAGCTTTTTCACCAAACATGTAACTTTTATTTTCGCGCGCTGAATTGTGTAATAAGCCGAAAAAGTAAGGTTGGAGTTACTTTTCTGGCTGTATTGGCTGAAGTTACTGTAGAGGACCATTTTAGCTATTTTTACATATAATTTTTTCTTTAATTTATTAATAAAATATATTTTTAAAATATTTTTTTCTTAAATCAGCAGAATCAGCCAAAACAGCCACTCCAGCCAGAATATCATAAATTTCAGCAGAATCAGCCAAAACAGCCGATTTTGGTGCTACCAAACGGGCTCTTAGGATGTTTTTACTTGGACTGTTTTCAGTCCCAGACCAGATCAGACTTAAACAGATAAGACCATACCAGACTAGATTAGACCAGACTACTTCCGTAGTTATAAAATACACGGAGACCAGACGTTTACCAGACAGACCAGTTCAGACCAGACCAGACTAGACAACCAAATTACAGTCCAAGTAAAAACATCCTTATTTCTGAAAGGTTTTTTGTGCATGGTTGAATATAATATAGGAAAGTTTGGAACATTTTTTAAATCACATGAAACTAATTCGCATAATTTATATATCACGAAGGAGCTGATGCATTAAACCCATCATATGGACTAGCACATCAGGACGACAGTGAAACAAAATTTAAAATGAGAAAAAAGTGGTACTATTTTCTAATCTATAATTGGATCATTTTACTAGCATTTAGTTACTACAAATTATATTTATCTCATAAATAATTATTTGACCTTGTTTATTAACATGGTTAAATAATTATATTTAATTATTTTACCTCATCTGATATACCTTTCGAAGAGTGCATCAGATAAGATTTATTCAGAAGTGCATTGGATAAGGGTTATTATACATCAGATTGATAATTTGGAAGGCTGAGATTAATTCTTATTTTACACATTAAGATGTTTTCTCATTTGAACTCAACCATATATATATAGATTAAACTTCATGTCAGGCTGCGTAGTTAATATATATAAAAAGCGCAGTATTTTTCATGTAGCTGAAATTTGGTATAGATAAACTACAATTAATGAAGAAGATGTTCAAAAAAATTCATCGAAAAATTCCACCGAGAAGACCCTCAAACGGGCTCGGCCAGACGGCGGGTCCTGTCAGGCCGGCCTGACAGGCCAGGAACGAATATATATAAATATATATGTAAGGTAGGCATAAAAAAAAAGTAAGGTAGGCATAAAAGTTACAATCTTAGGCCCATTTCAATTGAGGAGCTTCCAGGATGAATTTTTTGATGAAATTTGTGAGCATGTTCACCATGAAGTGTTTATTATGTCTACCAAAATTCAGCTTAAAATTTAATCAAGAAGTCACTTAAATAATTTTTTGAAATTTGGGCAGTTTTTTATACATAAAACTTGCATTCTTTTCAATAGTTTAGTTGATTGAATTCACGATTGATTTTTAAGTTGAAATTTGGTGGATATAACCTACACTTCATGGAGAATATGATCACAAAATTTAATCAAAAAAATTGACACAAAAGCACCTCAAATGAAAGAGGCATAAAACTTGCAACTTTTAGGTCTACCTTACATATATAACCTTACATATATAGGGTTGAGTTACCTTGGGTTATTCTCATTTGATTATTAGTCTTTATATGTATGCTTTTTTTTAAAGAAAGAACGTGTTATTCATAATAATAAAAAGTACAGGACAAGAAGTCAAATAAAAGGAGAAAACACACGAAAAAAAGGAAACAAAATAAATAAATGATTCATAATCATTATATATATGCATACATGCACACACACACACACACACACACACAAAGATTCATAATCAAATAAGAATAATGCTTAATGTGAGAAAATGATAACATGCACATTTACCCCCAATATAATGCACAACGAGACTCGTTCATTGCACTTTTTCATTTTGCATAATATTTACGAAAATGTTATCATGATTATTACGAATAGTTAATATTTACAAAAATGTTATCATCATTATTATACCCCCAATATCATTTTGCACTTATTTAAAAAGTGCACTAGACGACCTCCATTGTTCATCCATTCGGTTAAAC